AAGGCCAAGGTGAAAGATGGAAGCGAGCCAAAACCTGCAGAAAATGTCAGTTTCTCATTACATGGGAGTTGCTTCTTTATGTTGGGTCAATGTGGATATCATTCCTTCAATAGAATTTTTTTTTTCTTTTGATACTTTCCTTCCAGCCTTCATGCACCTTATGGTCGCAACAACAGGAACATAATGAAAATGTTTCTGTGATACATAGTGGTAGGTCCCAGCACATGAAAATCCCCAGTACCAATTAATGTTAGTGCACACACCACTGAATTGATTAACACCGCCAACCTTAACACATACATGTTATTTGATAGACCTGCATGCTAAATATGCTTAGTTCTTGAAATTTTCCTGTGCTGTGGCCCATCATTGAGTATAGGCTCTTACATGGCCTTTATTATTTTACCCTCAATGGGAAAGTATGTTTTGAGACATTTGATATGTTTTCATACTGATCTATGAAGGCTATGTTTGCCTTTCTATGGAGAATCCTGTATTACATTTGTCAATACCATGCTGGCAAAGAAGATCTTGCTGAAAACAAGAAATATTTTTATTTTTATTCAAGTGACCAAAAAATATATATAAGAAATAGATCGACTTACACATTCTTCGAAATCTTGGAGCCTTTTCAACCAAACCAAACTATGCCTTTTTAAGTAGTTCCAAAATCCTTGTCCTTTATAGTAGCACAACAATTTTACTCTGCCTGTCCTGCTTGTCTCCCTAGCTTATGGTTTTCCCCCCATGATGTTTGCTATACGGCTCTCCGTTTTGAAGGATTAATTAAATTCATATGGAACTTGCTATCTTCTTATGGGCTGGTTTAAAAAGATAATCTTCAAATCAGACTGTGATCAGTGTTACAAATTTGCTTGAATGAGGCATTTTTGCATTGTGATTGATTTGGTTTCTCATATTGCAGCCAGTGTTGTCCTTGTCCCTCTCCTTCGTGCAAAGGACATCCACCCCCTCGGCCGTGGGACGCTCGCCGTCCATCGGTAGTCGCATCGGATCTCACTCCTGGAGCCTTCGCAAGAATGTCCTCTCCTCCAACAAAGGCGAGTGTTGAACCGAAGAATTCACTTTCTGCTGTTTCTGCTAGGTGGACTGATTTTCTTGTATGGCATTTTGGTGCATCTTAAAACTTCCAGCATTGAAGCTGCTGATGCATGTTTAGAAATTTGACTGTAGGGTGATTGTCTCATAAACAGGGATTCTTGAAAACATGTGATTGTTAAATCGACTTTGATTTCCATGCAAATTAAGCCTTTTTGGCAGATATATTGATATTACAGGGTGGCCCTGAGAAATGCTATGTTGAGAAGAAATAAAAATATAGGTCTCAATGTGACATTTTACACTCCATGTAATTTAGAGGAATTGTTAAGATATGGATGTCATCTAGAGGACATATCCAAGGCATTTTTCACCATTTTAATTAATGCTGTAGTGTTTGATGTAGGACAAGAGGAGATGATGAGGATTCGTAGTTTCTGTTGCCACTGGAGAACATTGGGAATGAGCAATTCCAATTTCCAAGAGGGGGCAGGGGGGGGAGGGTCATTCATGCTGGAAGAGAGGGAGAAGGACCCAATCTTGACTACATCATTCATTTCTGCTGACTAGGCAAGAGGATGGCATGTTAAGGGCAATCGAATGTGAGGGACTGAGTTGTTTTTCGGTTGTGGAGGCAGATCTGTCGTAAGATCTTCGGCCTAAAATAGCCGAAGGACATTGCTAATGCAGATCCTGGTCGTATGTATAGCTCTCCTTCGACTTTCCAATGAGACGTAAACTGGCTCTCTCACATGTGTGTTCCCAAGATTTCCACTTGAAACGTTGCCTTCCATCTTATTTGGCAATGATTCTTAAGAGAAGTGGTCCCATGTATGAGGACTGGCAAACTTTTAATATTTCTCTTGTCCTTTTCCCTCTCGATCAGACTCTTCCCTTGCTAGCAGCCTCTCGCGCTCCTTCAAGCCTGAATGGAGGGAGAAGAAGAAGGGAACCCCTGTTTTTTGCAACATCTTCAAATCGATGAAGCCCTTCCAAAGTGATGTGAGTTTATTGTGCATGCCTGGCTTTTCTGAAGGAGTTGAGGGATTTTGCAGCACAAGAATGTATGACTTTGGTGAAGTGCAAATGCAAGTAAATTGCATTAGTTGATTGAACTGTTTTTGAAGATTGCCTTCTGCATGTTTTCTGTAAGATGGTGATTTTAATTTGTTAAAATCTTCTCTAGTTCTTCACAGTCTGATATGCTTTTTCCCTTCCTCTTTTGAAATGTGTCTATCAGTATCATCAGCATGACTCTTACTGTGAAGATGAACACATTGTCTCTGTGGTCTCTTAAGTAAAATTGTCACATTCTCCAGAAACGATCCTGGTTCCGACCTGAGGAAAAGAGAGCATATGCTCAAGTTCTCCTTGAAGCCATCTCCCCAAGGCACAGTCCTTTTCTCCGTTCCACTTCCATCAAGTGAGATCTTATCTTCTACAACCCGATGCTTATTCAATCTCATGAGTATCTTTGCATGATACATAGAAAAAAATTTGGCTTCTGATATGAAATTCCAGGGTAGATTCTGTAACTAAATTATGGAAATTACACAACAATAGAGAAAGATATTGATTTGTGCTCTGCACAACATGTAGGAAGTGTCTTTGTCTGATTACAGGTGTAGTGATATCCCCAATTGTCTTCTTTTGAGGATCAAGTTAAATTTGTATTCTGAACCATCTCTGTTTTCCTTCCAGAATTTTCTCAGATAGGGTTTGTCACTTTCATTATGCTGTTTTACTTTCATGGTGTTGGTTGATAACTATGTGCTCCAACAGGTAGAATAATGTCTACTTTGCACTCTGGTATGCTTTTGGTATTGCTGGAATTCACTTGAAATCCATAGGTAATATTTATTGCTATGTATTAATGAAAGTAAATAATAAATTAAATGCAGATCATTTCAGTAACTCTTCTACATCTTTATTTGCCTGAGTTTACTTGTTGTAACTTGAATTAGATTTTATGTGAGTTGAATGTTGAATTGAACATTTTTAATTAATGCCTAGTCTCACTCTCATGTTTTTTATTCTTTGTTTAGTGGGCCAAAGAGCTCGTATTCATCGAGAATGATGTCCGTGTCTTTGCACTTGGCAAGCCCCCTTCGTCCCCCTTTGCACAACCCAAAAGAGACATCCCCAGGACCTACTTCTTCTGCTGAGCCGACTACTGGGGATGATGAGGTCCAAGTGTTGGATGTGCTTCCTTCACCCGTGGACAAAGTTCCAGTGCGGGATGTGAGACGCTCGCCCACGGAAGACATCCAAGTGCTTGCGGTGAAAGTGAAGCAGCAAGGCAAGGGTGAGTCAGAAGGTTCTTCAGGAATTACATACCTTTCATTGCTTCATTTTTTAAAATGTTCACGAGACCGTGTCCGTGCTTGCAGGCCGCAAGCCGTCTACTCCTCGTCAAACGGCATCAGAGTTTCGGGCTGACTTGTTTCTTCAAAAGCTGTGAGTTGAAATCAATTGATTACATGAGATGGTGCCTAAGTTCAGCATTTTCTTCACAATTGAATCACCTATTCAAGAGAATTTTGGTCAGATTACTGATAAACTACACTTGCACTTGGTGTTATTAGGGTGGGACCTGTCATTTTTCCCATCATCATTTTTATTCCTCATGGGTCATCAAAAATCAATATATGGAAGGTAAATGTGTCTGATTAGAAGCTGTAGGCATCTTGCACATGTACTGATGTTCTTCCTCATGGCCTCTACTTATACTATATATTTCTAATGTAATCACAACATATTTAAACATATTTTTATCCATCATTGATTCAAGATTCAACCCCTGCCGACCAATGTTTCTCCAACGAACTTGTTTGCTATCATGGTGTGTGTGGGGCCATCAGCTTTTTAGAATTTCTTAGGTATGCCCTTGGATTAACCTTCCAGATATTTTCCAGTATACTATTGTTTTACTTGCTCTGTCTTGGAGGTAATTACATCTTTGGGCCATTGCTTCCTTGTATTCTGACTCCTAACGATAAATAATTCCTTGTGTAGAAGAGGTGCATGGATGTCATCAATTTGGCGTTGAATGTGTAAAACAGGCGAGCCAAGTATGGGGAAGAGGCAAGGGAAAGGGAGGCACAGCTGGCAGCTCAAGAACGAGAGGTCGAATTCTGTGCCGAGAACCGCCGTCGTGCCGTGGAGCGACTCACGACCGACCTGCACGACCGGCTCCGAGTGAAAGAGGCCGTTGTACTCTTGGATGAGGAAGAGGAAGAAGAGGAAGTGAAGGAAGATGTTAGGGAGGTTCTTCTTGAGCGGGAGTTCCCCCAACTAACCCCTGAAATGGAGGTGAGGAATTGATGTCAGCAAATGGGAATGGATGCATGAAACCATCTCAGTAATAGTCTAATAGGAACCACACAGAGAGTGGAAAATGGTGTCATAATGAGATTGCACTTTTCAATTATGTATATTTTTCTTTTTTCCTTCTTACAGCTTGTTGGCCTTCCCCCTTCATTTCTGTCATTCTTTTAGTTCTAGGTATATATTGTATTCCTTTTTTACCTCACTCTCATAACTCCCTTCGCCAAGGGCATTAGCTCTGTTCTTTATTGTTTGGAAATTTTAAATATAAATTATTATTAACTTGTACTGACTCTGAAAGCTATGAAAGTGTCTTTGCTCCTGTGATTGTCCTCTTTTAGCATATATGTGCTTCACAATAATTTGATGTTGACACTTTTAAAGAGAAGACCCAATTACTTTTTTGCCAAATTTATGGGAGTATTGAAGAGTCTGTTTCCCATTTAGTATGGTAAGTGGTGTCCTCCATTTGTAAGATATTTTTTAGGGCTCTAAATAATCACAGTACGTCAATGTCACCATCAGTGACAGAATGGGATTATAATTCATTGCATGTGAGAAGTGGAATGCCAGGAATCAAAAGTCTATGTTATATGATAAGTCATAAGTTGTTAAGTGAAAAATATGATAATGGGGAAACGGAGGAAGATAAACCGGGAAAGAAGGAAGATTGATACCAAAGAGGCAACAAATTTGAAAATAAATTTCTCCACTGTCTTCATTATCTTTGTTACTTCTCCACTTCCAACACATCTGTTATCTTAACTCAGGAGAAGGCTGTGGATGCAGTTCTAACTTTTGCAGTATAGTAAAAAGCATTGGTATATTAGTTAATTGGAGTGTTTTTAAGTGGCATAGAGTTGAGAAAAGAGATGAATGCAGAGAATTAATTATACTGACACACATGCATGGATGCATGTTCATGCACTTGGTTTTATTTTTTCCTTGGGTGTCTCTAATGGTGATTCTTGGTAAAAGTTCACTAAGTTCTGAAATTTACCTACCCTGGCTAAATGGCTTCTTGCTCCTGGAAATCTGTAATTTCATGGTATTTTTATGCATCAGCACACATACTGTAATGGATGCCCATTTTCTTGAGATGTAAATGTTGACTTTGCATTCCCTCAGAATGAGATCAATGCTGCCCTGCACCCAATCCCAGCGACCGAAGTCCTCGTCGAGAACTACAACATCCCCATCAAGCGAAGCGATGTCCAGACGCTGAAGAATCTCAACTGGCTGAACGATGAAGTCATCAACTATTACTTCAACCTGATCATGAACCGCAGCGAAGGCGGGCAGGGTGACTTGCCACGTGTCTACTGCACCTCCACCTTCTTTTACCCGCGACTCAACTCGGGAGGGTATTCCGCTGTCAAGAGGTGGACACGGAAGGTGTGTTCTTTTCGTGCTCAGTAGACTGATGATTGGGACTGGTCGATGGTGATTGAAAGTGCCGACAGCAATGAGTGAATATTCCTCTAGTTCCATTCTGATGAATGGAGTTAATAATCAACTCCCACTTAAATTGTATTATTTTGAAGTTTATCCAAGTTCCTAAAGACCAAAAAATATATATCAACATATTTATGAGAAACTGATAATCCATAGGTATTCCTATAATTAAAGCTTTGGGAAGCCAATAAATAGTGTTTGCCACAAATGGAGCCACCAGTTCCTCTTTAGACTCCCAAAGAAGTCCATGTGTGTCTCAACATTTTTTAAATTTGGGAATTCTTAGAGCTTCCACAAAATGTTACATGATGAAATGCCTGTGTCATTTTGGATAGAAGTATTATTCATGTTTGAGGTTCAGGTATGTAGTTCCTGCTCTAGCAACTGAGAGAATTTCTCTAACATCTCTAACATTTCTCTAACAACATATGAAATTGCCCTTTCAAGGATGAAAATTGGAGTACAATGAAAGAACTATTGGATGCCCTTTGTATTTCTTCATAGTTTGATCTGACGTTGCTGCTGGCAGGAGTTCGACAGAATTCCTGTACTTATAGCCAAAGCGACTTGCTTAGCCAATTCTAAGTAATATATCATTCAGAATTTTGATATGGAAAGAAAAATGGGCCTTCAGTCCTTCAAGTTGTATTCTCCAAAGACTATCGGCAATAATTCTAGTTGCCAACCGGAATCATGAATCAGTCACCTTGTCTGGAAAGGAGGCCTATGAATGGGCTCTTTCCCAGACAGTTTTTTAGGGCCCTATAAAACTGTCACAATTTTGTTAGAATTGTTGAATGCTTGTCAATGACAACTGGGAGTTGTCCTTGCAGGTGGACATCTTCAGTAAAGATCTGGTGCTGGTCCCAGTGCACCTTGGGATGCACTGGACGCTGGCTGTGATCGACATGACGGAGAAAGGGATCCGCTACTATGACTCCATGGGCCATGAGAACTCCCATTGCCTCCGCCTTCTTCTGGACTACATCCAGGAGGAGTATAAAGACAAGAAGAAGGCACAGCTGGATGTTGCTGCTTGGTCCATGCAATCTGTCAGGGTGAGTGTATGGCTTTTTGTGCATCCATCCTTTCCTAGTAGATGTGACTAAGTTATGTGGGAGAAGTACCATATCAAATACAGAGTTTATGCTTGAAGAATTGGGTGACCTTAGAGAACTGGTTCTTGCTTGTCTCAATTTCTTGAAACTCATAGGAAACTTTCCTAGGTGGGAAGTAGCAAAAACATCTTGGCTCTTCATCAGTTGTTACTTTGACTTAGATGCTCCTGTTCAGGAAGTACATATTTAGCTATATTTATGGCATAGGGCCAATTTTTAAAATGAGCCCCATTTTTGGGTATACCGTTGTTATTGAAGAGAGTAGATTTATAGCATCATTCTTTGCTTGTATCTTTCAGACAGGAAAGATGTCTCTGAGAGGAAGTTTGGTTTTTTGATACTGAGTTATTTTATGTTCTATATTTTTCAAATCAATTATTTCTTTTGAATGTAGTGTGAGGTACCTTCGGTCAGCCTTAGTATCAGCTAAAAAGGCCAGTAGACCTCTTGCGTAGAGGGCAATCCAATTTTTTTTTTTAATTCTTTCTCTGTTGTCCACCACTAGTGATACAATTTTTGGACATTCTGTGTGTATTCACATATGCTAATCCTCATTCATGTTTGAAAATCTGCATGTCCTATCAGATTATGTCATGAACATTATCCAATGGGGTAGTTGGAATTCTCTGTGGTAATGTCTAGTAGTTGAGCAACATTAACTCATGCTAATGGGGAAACTCAGGTGCCACAGGTTGGATGCTGAATGGTTAGATGCTCACCTGCTTCATAGGTTGCTTGCAGCTCCACTGCCAGCATGCAATCCTGCCTGCCTAAGGGCTAAATATGGAAGGATCTTTTTCTGATTTGGGACTGATTCATTGTTCATGTTTGACAATTCTTGCCTTCAGAACTTTTGGTTTTCACTTGTACCATATTTTTTTGCAGGAGATTCCACAGCAGAAGAACGGGAGCGACTGCGGGATGTTCGCGTGCAAGTTTGCCGACTTCGTCTCCCGTCGCCTCCCGATAGTCTTCGACCAGGAACACATGCCATACTTCAGGCGACGCATGGTCTTCGAGATCTTGCAAAACAAATTGCTTACGTGATTCCCACGAGTTGAGGAAACCCAGAGACTGTGAGGAGTCTTACGTGCTGAAAGAGTACACAGACATTGGCTTTTGCCACAAATTGATTTTTTTTAAAGCAGAATATGCCTTCCTTGTGTTTTTTTTTTATTCTAAGCAAAAGTGTTACTCTGATCAGAATACAAAGATTGTTCATTTTGGTCATCCTTGATGCATTTCTTTTCTTTAATGCCTGTTTGCTAATAGACCTGAGGGATCTTCCTTGTATTCTCTTGAAATGCCTAATAATAGTTAAAAGAAGAAATAGCTATTCATGTCCCCCCATTCATAGATTTGTGTTTTACATCTCTGGCTGTTCAGGTATGCCAAGAGAGACATTGGGTAATTCACAAGACTGCAAGATGTACTCAGAGATACCTTGTTGTATTTGTTTGCAGATTTCATTGCTGGTGTTACAATTTGATACAGTTCAAATAATTTTACAAGCAGCGTTTAAGTGTTCAGTTCTGGGCTATTAACATGGCAAATGTGGTACCAGGAATTTATTAGGCGAGGCGTTCAGACGAACTGAGACTATTCATGCGAGAAAAGCGTTACGAAGGGCATCCTATCATACAAGGCGAGAAAGGGAACGGGTGGGAAACCGACCTACGTATCTGCAACTTGATTGCCCACAAGAAAGAGCGAGAACCAGCTGAAGCCATGCATGCCTCAAAAAGAGCTCTATAATAATAAGAGATAATAGACCGACTCAGCATGAACGTGCATTCGCCAACAGAAGGTTGAAGCACTGAATCTCAGTCGAAAGGAATTTACTCATCTGTGATAAAGAAATTTAAATATTTCCGTGTGTTAGTTGTTGGGGTATTTTTACCAGGTACAATTGCTTTACTGCTTTCATGATAATGCACTTGCCACAAGCAATCAGCCAGCATCTTCCGTAACAGAAAAGGAAAACGCAGAAACTCATTAACTGTGCCAAACACAGTTAATGGATTTCCGGTCGAGTACGGGCGTCGGAAAAATCGGCTAGTGCAGGCTTCCAGCAGGCAGAGACAGACTAGTTGCAAAAGAAATGTGCCAAAATCGGTTATTATTGATACCTCCGTTTTTTTTTTCTTCTCGTTCCTGCTTGTTTCTTCCATTCTTCAAAAAGCTATTGGAAGTTTCAGCGATTTCTTTTAAAACGCGCGAATTTCAACCGTTGGACCACAATGATTAATGTTTGCTACTTACGATAAAGAGAAGTAATCGTGTACAGTTACTTCAGTTACAACAGTTTATTTGCAGAGTGGTGAACACGTGGAATGCGTTAGATGACTCAGGAGAAGGCTGTGGATGCAGTTCTAACTTTTGCAGTATAGTAAAAAGCATTGGTATATTAGTTAATTGGAGTGTTAGTGGCTGCCCCGCGCTGTGACTATCTTTAAGAAGAAACTAGATGCTTTCATGGACAGGCAAAAAGGTGGGGGGTAATGTTGACGTTAAGTACAAGACAGTAAGCAACTAGGATAGTCAAAAAAAAACAAAACAAAAATGCAAAAATAAATAGCTTTAAGAGGGTTAGGGTTAAGGGTTAAGAGGGAAATCGCCTCTTGATATCACTAACTCTCTTGACTTGACTTCGATTACCACGTAATTTAATGCACGAGGCATGATAATATGCAATTTCATTTTCGTAGTTTATATTCTGATATATTCAACTGAAATCGTGGACGCTTTGCTGGAACATCAGGCATATTAACCGTTTCGTAGCTATTTGAAACCATCATCTCCCACTCGAGTACTTTTATTCCATATTTTATTCCATAGCTAAGTTCATAAAAAGAAACTCATGAGGTAGAAGGACCGCCATGACCAGGAAATAAATTGACGCATGGCATGAGAAGCATCACGTGCAAAAAGTATGATGGCATAGATGATATGGCTTTCTCTCATCGCCGTCAGAGTGGATGGGTAAAAGAGTGGAAAGACCGACGGTGATGGACGAAAGAAAAACTTAATGGAACGCTTTCTCTCAGAGGGAAGAGACCCCAAAGAAGACCCCGCTTAGGCATTTACGTATAACCCCTTGACCCCATTGAGAACGTAATATATATAATAAATGCGTAATATATATAATATATTACGCCTCCAACGAGAAACAACTTGAAAGCCTTCTCTTGTTGCCATCAAACTGGAAGAACCTACCACGTTCTACGTTCTGCAATGCCTGGATTAGGTCACCCTTCATAACCTTCTCTCAAGCGAGGACAGTTCCGNAAGAGAAGACCAGGCAGAAGCTGGAGAAATACTCCGAACTGAAAGTGGAAGTGGAACAGTTGTGCGGAATGAAGACCACCATAGTTCCGATCATCATAGGCACAACTGGCGTTGTCCTGAAAGACCTCAAGGGACATGTCGGGAAGCTGGAGTGTGAAATATCACTCGATATCCTCCAGCGTACAGCAATCTTGGGCACGGCCAGCATCCTTCGCCGTGTCCTTCAGAATTAGGCGAGTATGAGGTCTGGGATGTGGTTCATCCCCCCTCATATCCCCAATACCGGCAGGTGCCGTGGAAGGATTTATTTATAAAAAAAAGTCGTATTCATAATGTGTCTCAGGAATCGATTTCGAGATAATGTGTCAAATTTTAGAAAAACCCAACTATAAGCCCATTATGTATAATTTGCACGCCACCATCCTGGGAATGAATGACATCATCTGGTGCTCCTTAAACACTTCATTTCGATAGTTTCTCTCATCTTTTATAGCATGAGATGATCGGGGTAAATGTGATCGTGGCATCAAATTTGCAGTTTTGAAAGAACTGGTAATCATTTCATGAGAGATGAATGCAAGTCATTTAATGCACCCGATCGTTAGTCTGATAGCTTCGACCCACAGGATTATCATTTTGGATTTGGATTATCATTTACTCGTAAGTTCATTTTGATCGCTCTTCACCCCGGGCGTAAACGCGTCCGTGAGCGAGATATGGGCGACCGCGCAGCTGAAACACATCGTGTCAATGAAAGAGTTAACAGTTTCGATTTTACGAGACTTCCATCATTTGAAGATATGGGTGACTGTGGGTAACGTGTCGCTGGTAATGATAAAATTGAGCTTGCCTGAACCGACCCAATTTTTTTTTTACATCAACACTTTCATGAATTATGCACTACAAAATAACAACACAAATATAACACGATTGCTAGAGGGTTATAATGATAATAATAATTTTGTTTCATAAACCATGTTGTTCGTATCCGGAGTCCGATCCTTCGTATCTCTTCTTTGGCGCAAAATCTGCTTTGCACAAATACAAGGATGTACATTGCCATATTGATGAATCTGATTTCATGGATGAAAGCATGGGGTGACAAAACAATACCGCATAATCACGTCAAATCCTGTCGTACACGTTCGGAGAGTTCAGCTCCAATGAAATAGAAAAGTATCCCCTGTACGTGGGTGCTGACGAATTGATGAACGCAATGTTGTATTAACAAAGAGAGTGACAATCATGTCATTATTTTCTTCAAATACAGGGTTTCACGTAACTTTATTTAGCACAAAATAATATTTCCTAAGAGAATAAGTAATTCAAGGAGAGAATTAGTGATAAAACGTTTTGGTACGGCGAAGGACGAACTAGTCATGGTCCATTAATCAAATTCGATCAAATTTTTTGCCGATGAATTTCATTATCTTTTGGTAAAGTGATACTTTTTACTAGTTTTGAACTTCTAACTTGTGAGTGAAGTGACACCATATTCATGGATCAGGCATCACTTGTTTTTGGGTTACAGTGATATGAAACTCGGAGATTTTATGGTGACACCAAATTTTGACCACCCTGTAACATTAGACCTACTGGGCCGATGAGGCTGATGTGTTACTTCCAGGTTCTTGAGGGATAAGCCTGTTTACCAAGTTTCATTGAAATCTGAAGGGGTGGGGTGTTTATTTGGAAAATTTGTTGCCTATTTTCTATGAAATGACTCAATAAAAGGTCAAGGGACTACAGTACGAAAAGCGGTTAGAAGTGTCGGAACTGTCCTCGCTTGAGAGAAGGTTATGAAGGGTGACCTAATCCAGGCATTGCAGAACGTAGAACGTGGTAGGTTCTTCCAGTTTGATGGCAACAAGAGAACGAGCGGTAATCAACTCGTGTTACGTAAACTGCAGCTGCGACCCTGGCCAAGACACGGTCTATTTATTTTTAGGGTGCTGAACGCGTGGAAAGCGTTAGATGACGTCGCAGTGGCCGTTCCTTTCGGTGACTATTTTCAAAAGAGAGACTGAATCCTTTTATAGAGAAAACCAGAAGGGGACAATGTAGACGAAAGGGACGGTGCAGATAGGGAATAGGATATGGCAAAATAATTTGTAAAAACCTTTTTTTTGGCTTTGAATGGAATATATGTCGAAATTAAGGAATGGATTATGTACCCTCGACACATGGCATCCAAATGTGCGATATCGACTCCTGACATCGCAATCCAATCTTGAAAAAAGCCTTGAATGAAATCGCCCTTTGATATTTGACACATAGTGTTTTGTCTATAGGGTTGCTCACATTTCAAATGCATCTGATCCTTCTGAGCTCAAGTGAAAGGTTTATTCAAAAAGTACTTCACAAATCAGATGGTATCATCAATACTTTTCTGCTGATTACCTTCGGATTCCTTCATGGCTTACTGCATTGGTATATGTTGGCTTCATTTGACTTCGTGTAAGTCCGAATTGGTGAGTCAAAACTGAAAGCACATGTTTTGGATGAAAATATAAGACTGTGTATTCAATGTTACACGTCGAAGGTAAACAATTTCAAACTCATCTTTTTCAAACTCATCTCAGTAAACTTGATGAATGCGCACATCCTCTAATGACGAGATTCGTTTTAATTTTGAAGTTTCATTTAGGGAAAAGCAATGTTATTACAGAGCCAAGTGTTTCACGTGAATGGCATTTTCCCCATACTACTGTGCTAGGGCGAAATGGTGCAACTTAATGCGAGAACATACTCGATCTCCTCCTGCTAAATGCCATCAATATCGCTGACGGCCAAATCACGCTTTCGATGAATCNTTCCTTCTCTTTGTTTCCGCTAATTTCATCGATTGAGTATGGATTTCATCTGATGTGATATTGTTTCTTTGTTTCTGCAATTGAGTAGAAATTATGAAATTATGATTCCTCTCTCCTTCGCTCTTGCTACTTCAAGACATGGAAACAGTCCTCCCGCGTTTCTATTGCTCTGCGATGTCTAAATGATGTATGTTACTGCACTTTACTGTACCAATATTCCCATGTGTAATTGGCGCCCGTTAGAGTGTTGGCTTTTTTTAAATGATGAAAGTTGAATTAAATGTGTATCAAAAGTCACTTGTCATTATTATTATGGGAACATGAGAAATTCCCTCTTAGGAAGGAGGAATATTGAGAAATGTTGACAATGACAATGACGCTGATCCCAGTTGATTGAAGGTCGAAAATCTCTGGATGAAATGTATGAGGCTATTTGAGACACATTTTGGAATTTCCAGAGGAGGTAGAAGGCCCATTGGGGAACATAACAATTGCTGTATTGATACGGTTTCGACTGTTCATTCAAAACGCGCCTGAAGTATGAGGTTTTCTTTTCCACGCGTCTAGGCGGATTTTGGCCATTTGTCCGAAATCCGTCTGGATTTTGGGCAAAGTGCTCGGCTCATGCAGAAGGCTTTCCCCTCTATCCTTTTTGAACAATGGTCACTTCATTGTAGACTGAAATTGCATTTCAATAAAGTTATAAAATTTTGACAAATTTGCTCAGTGTGTTGAAGACTTTCTTTCCAACCTAATATAATAAATGTATAATTATTTCTTCTCGCAGCCATCCATCAGGTACTTATTTGCCAAGTTTTTTAACTTTCATGAGCCCTCTGTTTTGCTGGATCAGAAAATTCGTGAAAATACGCCTTTTGCAAAACATGTGCCATGAGCCGTTTTAACCGAAACTTAGTATTTTTTTTATTTACCGAAATCCATCCTCAGTGAACTACATGCCCTCAACGTTTCAATATTATACGCTTCCCCTTTTCGCTGGACTTTTTTGTACAAATCTTATCGCCTGGGTGGGGAGTCGAGTCATTATACATGTCACTTATACGTGTGCCAAGTTTCACCTTTCCTTTTCTGTTCAATTCGCCTAGACAAATTCTTTGTTTGTCTGTCAGATTTTTTCTGAACTATGCATCCCAAAAGGTACATGTGTACCAAGTTTCAGCAAATGGACGTGGTGACGAATGTGACACTAGAGGGTGTAACGCAAAAGGGATTACTCCATCTTTGGTTTTCTTAGAAAAAGCAGGCAGAAACATACCCAAATAAAAGTAGGGATTCTCAAAGTCAAGTGTTTTCTCAGATTTGATTAAGAACTTATTCAATCTGCTTTGGGCCACAGGAGCCTACCGAATCGTTGCGCAACTTCCAATAGTGTAACACTATTGGAGCATTTTTATGCCCCAATGTTGTTGCCGCGTATCTTCGATATTTTTCAGAGATGGTAGGACATACACAATTGAATCAGCCTTTTTTAATGCATGTAAATCTAAATTTTATACACGGAATTGAGTTTGACTTGAGATAGATATAATGTAAAAAATATAAGATAGATATTGATATAATGTTACCATACCTCCTACTACGCGGGTGGATCATAAATTATCTAGTAAAATATCATTTGAATGTGAGTATATGAAATGAGTACCCCATCGGTTCCTTTTGCTGAAAACTTGCCTTGGATATTTTTGTGTCCACCGACGGGAACAATACAGAAACGATTTCACACTGGATGTGCTTCTAAGTTGAATTTAGTGCAGAGGGACGCCATTGCTAATATTTTGAAAACATAAAAAAACAAGGATGGTCAGCTAAGCGGAAGTTTTTGTACATTTCTACCTGTCCCTGGAAACGCTCATCAGGTCCATTGAAGAAGAATGCACGAAATGAAACAGCTTTCGGCTCCCACTTTCCACGAATGGATGAAAGCCTCCCTAAGAAGGACAACCATATCTTCTAACTGCTGCAGTACGTGGAAAGTAGTTTCTGCAGAAATTATATTGAACTCAGGGGCCTGGGCCGAAGCCTCAGAGTTTGCCAAAGTCAAACGCAATATCATACTCTTATCTTATGCCCGACAAGGAAGATAAATATACGTTTTCGTTCCACATTCCAACCGTCATTTCCATGAGACCTATAGTACTGATAAGAAAGCAAAAAAAGTCAAAGATGGTCTGGGTGTCAGGAGCAAATAAACAAGCACTGCGATCCCGGGTAGCAATGACATGTCTCCCGTGTTATGTTCTATTGGAAGTGATCATTGTAACACAAAAAATTCCATTTTTGTGTCTTTGTTTCTGTGATATACTGCATAATGAAATGGGCGAAGGAATCAGGTGACGAATGGCAGAACACCGTTATCCATAAGGACCCTAGTAGTACTGTATATAACATTGAAGCAACATTGTTGATTCATCATCCTGACGTTGAACTAACGTTGAATCAATGTTGACTCAATGTTATCGGCTCTAGGGGACACTGAAGAAGTAAACCCCACATGAGTGAACGAGGGGTGAACGGAATGTGAATTCCTTGTGTTGCTGGAGAGGAATGTATATCATACCATACAAGGGTTTTGCCTCTAGTCAGATTCTTCAAAAAGTCTGGTGAATGGATGCAGCTGCATGTTGGTCGCCCCAGAATGAAAATCAGGTGTGTTTCCTTTTCTCTCACCTCCGGATGAGTTCAAGTTTCAAGAGAGCCCCGCATTCAAATTCATATTTGGGATGCTTTTGAATGGAGAATAAATTCGTGATTGTAATTGGTTTTAACGTTTCATATGTCTAGCAATGTTGCACGCAGCTAGATTGTATAATATATGGAATTACTTGCAAGACGCCAGGGATAGGTGAAATGAACGGTACGACATGCTGATTGTATACTTGGGAAAATAGTTTAAAGGTTTCAATTTGCCTCATTGGGATGACCGGAAACGACCCCCAAATATCACTTTAGTTAAGCTTTGAAAGCCCAAAAGAAGACCAATGTGTTGGAATCGAACTGAACTTTTGGTGAATACCAGCTGTATGAGGTAAATTTCTGAAGATTTATTGTTTCTCCCTTTGCAATTACCCAGGATCTTGAGCGGAAATAGCTAAAGTTCGTAGTAGTCACATCCAATCGCAAAAAAATTCAATGCCCAAAAGTTGACGCAAACCTGTTTTCGTAAATGTAACTCATGCGATAAGTGAAAGGAGATGAAAGGTAATGGGAAGATGAAGGTACTTCGCACAACTTTCTCCAAAATTTCCGCCGATAAAAACGCATTTCCTATGAGTCTCGCTTATCAGTTGCGCCTGCGTTTTTGAATAGCGAATCATGCGAGTTTATGCATCAGCAAGTTCGGTCATGAACTGTAGGACTAAAAAAGGATTGTGGTTGGCTTCTAATGCAAATGAGAGGTGGGACAGAAGTGCTGCCTATATTTTATGAATATTTATGGGCTCCGATTGAAGCAAACTTAATTCAAATGAGCTATCGGTTTAACATTAATTAAAATGACCATGTCAACATTTGTCTCAAATGAATTATTTCCAATGGAAATAATATAATTATTCAGAAATGTCTTAATGATACTGGCAAGCGAAGTGTTGAGATTGATTTCATAATGAAAGCCCAAACTAAAAATTCTAGAAATGATTATCCTAATTTTCCGACCCGAATGTTAATTTCCCTTTTCTTATGAGAAAACGATTTTGGGGAATGAATGTATTCTTCAGAGACAGGATCCTAAAGACAGATGCAGAAAGTGCGAGGAACATTCATCCCTGGGACGATTGCAATGCTATGAAAGGATTGGGAGGTTGGACATCAGAGACAACCTCCAAATATACATGGGAGCAGGGGAATTTACACCCCTGAAGGAAGCGGCAGGAGTTTATGTGGCAGAAAACTACCGTGAAGCCTATACGAAAGCCTACTCACTTCCTGAAGGTTACATTCTGAGTAAAAATAAATGCAAGAAACTTAGAGACGAAGCTCGAAATGTTGAAGATGTGGGGATGCCGTTTGATGAACTCTCTGTAGCCAAGGTGTTTGACAGACTCAAGCATGCATTCAGACATGTGCCATCTCTCACAGTGGCCAACTATACCTTCACGAAAACCTTCCTCAAAGGCATCAATCAAGAACAGAGGGAAAAGTTCGTTCAAAGTTTTGGAATCGCACGTGAAGGCCTGGAGCCTGGGGATCACGACGTCTTTGGAACAGGAATATCTGGTAATGATGTCATTGGAGTTTTCTTCCAAGTTAAGGGAACAACAAACAAAGCAAATCCAAGGACTATCATCAAGAACCTCGCTAAAGCCACCAGACAAGTGAATCGGGATATTACGATTTTTCGCACTATGTGTGGTGAATTTATGAACTCGAGCGTAAAATTAGCAGGGTTTTCTGCCTTCCCAATGCTTTCGCAATCAGATTTGCAGCGATTCAGTGAAACCTTCTCAGCGCTTCGGTGCAGAGATTGCAGAGAACGAATCCTCACAGCAGATGATCTGGATAAACCATATAGTTTCGCAAGATTCTTGGCGAGACACGGGATAACATTGGAGAAGACCTGGGACAGAGATCCCTATTCCCCCGTTATGAAGACGTTTAAGGACATATTCGACCTGTATGTCTGTGCAGCATCAGCCGTGGACCTCCCACGTAGCCCCACTGAGTTGCTCATTAGAAGTGAGGAACAAATGAAGCAGATGATTGTGATTCTCACGCCAAAACAGAGAGAATTAGTGAAGAGCGTCTCAAAAGTAATTTTTATCAGTGGAGGAAGTGGAACTGGCAAGACATTCGTCCTCAGGAAACGAGCTTTCGAATTGGCTAAGAGAAATGAGGTCTTAGTGATCAATGTTGCTGGAGGAAGCCTTACACAAGAGTTTCAGAGCGGGTTTGAAGGTAAGAAAAACACTCCGGAGGCTCCTTGCCTTTTTTTTTATACATATGATGTAAACCATACGGCAAACATTAAGGTTTTAATGTTCTTGCCTTTTAATGTTCTTAATTCGATATTGCTATAATGGCAGTAGTCACAGGAATAGGTTTGTTTCGTAATGGTCTGTCGAGAATGCATTTCATGGTTAGGAATGATAAAGACATTCCACCTTGGTTATTAATTCGCAATTCCGATTCAACTTTATAACATGATATGGGTTTTTGAAGGAACACCCCATTTAGAGTACAGGGTGGGCCAAAAGAACCGCCCCAAATGTGAAGCCTAATAACTTGGCCAATATCAGTTTGTAAAGATGCAAAATGAAGCTTATTCAAATTTCTTTCGAATAATATATAATTTTGGGAGGATTGCTTCAGAGATATGGCCGCTATTACAGTGTTAAAAAAGTATTACAGTGTTAAAAAAAGTTTTAAAAAGTTTTTAAAAAGTTACCCGAAAACAGCTTTCCTGAGTTCTTTCCAATGTCGCGCTGCTGCTGTCGCCTGTTTCTCCCGCGCACCCCTTCTCCCATGATCCCCTCCATGACACGGATTGGTTAATGAGAGATTCTGCGATCATGAGGCAAGCAACATGAGGCTGTTGTAGATTGTGGAGGAGGTCACATTGAACCATTTTTGGGTCATTAGAAAGGTTTGTGTGCGTGTGAGTGATAAATTCGAGGTTGAGGAAAAGGAACTTGGAGTAAAAGCCCATTTTCAGGAAAAATTTTCAGCAATTTATATATTTTTTTAAAACTGTAATAGCGACCATTTCTCTGAAGCAACCCCCTCCCCCCCAAAACAAAATTATATATCATTCGAAAGAAAATTGAACAAGCTTCATTTTGCTTCTTTAAAAATTGATATTGGCTCAAGGGTGCCCAAATTATTAAACTTCAAATTTGAGGCGTTTTCTTTGGCCCACATATGATCGCAGGATCTGTGTCAGATTGAGGGAATTCATAACAGATAACGATGTCCTTTTCGGTCTCTGAGTTTAAATATAAACTGCCATTTAAGATTATTCTTAAATCGTTATATGCTTGCATTGGAGGAATATATAGGAAGTTCATAGCATGATGCTCACAGGGCTAAACCAGGGATTCTAAACGCTTCCAAGGTAATTGCCCTCAGTTCTCAGAAAGCAAGGTATAAATGAGCCTCTTATATATTGAAAAAGAGGTTCTATCAAAATTCGAAGAAGCCACACTGATCTCAAGTACGTACTTGCAACTTAGCATGAATAAACATGCAATTATTCTTAAAAGATTATGAAAGTTACAAAGGACGCTTTCGAATTTTCATGGATTGAATTTCATTTTCATGAATGATATGAACTGGAATGGGCACACGTTTCGGGAAATAGTGCGGAGTTAAACTATTGATTACTTCGATGATCTCCATATAAATAATTCCATTTTCTTACTTGGAAACTACTGAACAGTGGGCACCACTAAAAAAATTAACTAGTTAAATTCACATTCATTCATTCCAGAGTGGTTCTGGTTTCCCGCTAACTTCTATTTAATTAGTGACAGTCTTTGAATAATACTTTTTCTTGTACTTTCCATTCCCGCATGCTTCATAAGTCCCGCAAATCGTAAAAGTTCGTCCAAAATGCAATTTATATTTATTTTTAAGCAACAGTATGAAATATATCTTTCCACCAGAAAAATGAAGCTCGACTCAGCATATGCAACATATAATTTCATATGTCGAAGTCATATGCTTGTGGAGGCAAAGTTGAGAAGGGCCATGCACACCACCAGAGGTTCGTGATGTATAGGGTGGCTCACAAAACCAAGCTATTCATTTGAAAGTCCTGTAAATCAGGCTGCATTGCTTCGATTTTCGCAAGCTTTTAGGCATATATGAAGCAACACTTTTGCAGAAGATATAAAATCATACGGTGTGATATTACGCATTTTTTGCTTCATCAATTTGAAAGTCATCAACTCCATTCGGAAAACAGCTGCAACAGTCCCCGATTGCCATTTGAGTCGCAGCAGCGACAGCTGTTGTTATTAGGAACACATCTCATTTCCTGTATCAATGTTTTGATGTGTTTCTTCCTATTTCAACATTTTTTTTAGTAGTACAAAGCAACACCGAGTTACTCCTTTGAAGACTTGGCAGTAATCAAGGTCTTCTGAGGTTAAAGAGGATGGGAAGTCAGAAAAAGATTAATGAACTTTCTGGTAAGACAAATTTTCGTGTCGATCCTCCTGAAAAACAAACCCATTTAAATAGTTTCAGCATTCACTTCCGTTCTTCGAGTTCTGGGCCTTCAACTACAACTTCAACTACCTATCAAGTTAGTGATCATGTTTTAAAACTCGCAAGGGCATGTTCGATCACTGCAAAGTCTTCATGCACATAACTCGGCATTGTTTTGCTTTATAAAAAAATCTGGGAGAAGGAAGAGACAGATATTAAAACATTGATAAGGAAGATAAAGTGTTTTCTTAATAACAACGACTGTCTCTGCTCCGACTCAAATGGCAGGCAGGCACTGTTGCAGCAGTTTCCCAAATGGGGATGACCATTTTTATCCGGATAAAGTAAATTATTTGCGATATCATACCATATAATTGTATACGCTCTGCAAAAGGGTTGTTTCATGTGTACCCTAAAGCTTACTCAAATCAAGGCACTGCAGCCTGGTTCACAGCAAGTTGAAGTTAATAGCTTGGTTTTTTATTGAGCTACCCAGTACAGTGCATGAGCAAACTTGAATTGTTACAGATGCTTCCAACTATAATTTCTTTTGGATATGTTTCCTACTGTGTGGCCCCCTATGCATTGCAATGAATTACCTTTCTGAGAGAGAATGACCATTGGAAAATCTCGAACATATTTTTGATTACCTCGAGTCAAACAGCTATATAAGACAGAAAAATTACTTATCGACATGTAACGATTTCCATCTATATTATGACTTTGAAGCATATACGTGCAAGATTCTCAACATTTTTTTCGCACCCTGTCACTCTAGTCAAATGTTCAATTCCAACAAAGTATATGGGGAAAATTATACGCATCCAGTACGAGAATGCAATTTGACTCCAGAAATGTAAGTGGCCCTAAACAATATAATGCAATAACCAGGTATGAACGTAACGTATAAAGGTAGGCCATGTGCTGAATATATGTTGTTCAAACCTGTCATATGTAATTTCAATTATGAACATTTTCTCTGATCATTCAGTCTCCATTATTTGTCAGATGTCTTGGAAGTAATAGAAAATGTTCACTTTTTGGGATATCTTTAAGACAACACTGGAATGTCTGTTGGAATAAAGTAGATAATGGGAAATAAAACATTCTATTCAGACAGAATACCATAGGGATTCGGAGATGTCTGATAGGTCGAACCTAACGTAGGCTTTCCGTTTTCTGCACTCTGGGAAAACTTTCAATAGGGGATAGCAAAATAAAACACAAACGCAAACTGTTCGTATGAGACTCTGCCAGGGGTAATAGTTCCAAGCGACGTCATGCTGCTCCAAATTGGTGGATTGATATTAGGAAGAAAACTTTTGAAATATGTCATATATTCCTATACGTTTTGGTTAAAGCACTTTCAACATGTGAGTGCTAAATGGCAGAACTCACGAAGTATTATTTTATCAGGAAACATGAATATAAAAGTTATTGATGGAAGAGAGGAGCATCTGGCGGAGGAGCTTAATGTGTTGACGAGTTTTCTTCGGAAGGAAGGAAAAGGGAAACATGTCGTTATCGATGAAGTCCCCATCACACTTGGATTCCACGGGATTCTCACCCCAGAAGCCCTTTCTACTCATTGGAAGAGTATCCTGGACATAATGAATGACGTTAACACCATCACTCTCGCCTTCAGACCGAATGACCAAACCTACTCCAGGGATTTCATTCTACAGGATGTCAGGCCTGGAAATTTTCACATACACATCCTTCAACGAGTTAAGAGGAACAGCAGAAAAATAAGCGAATTGTTCCTGGCTATAGGGGATTATTCTCGAAGGGTGTTCATTTCACGTGAGAGGACCCTTCCAATGAATCAAGGGGATCATAAGGAGTCTGGGAGGGGATCCCTCCCTGGCATCTACCTCCTTCCATCTTGCTTCTCCCTTCATCCAGCCACATGTCAAGATGAAATGATCTGTCGTGCTGTCAGGGTTTCCCATGCTATTATATTTCTTCATTCCAAGTTGTCCAATTCGTTGCCAGTCATTGTCATTGTTGATCATAAGAGGATGAAAATGGCTCTTGTGAACATCCTCACTTCCATTGACGATTCACTCTTTGTTATCTTCTTGAGTGAGAGCAGAGAATTCTCACAGAAGGTATCGACAGCGTCCATTCCACTCGTCATCGTCACTGAAGATGAAATAATAGGGTGTCACCTCAGGAACGTTGTCGTGGTTGTGGATTTCCCTCAGACTCAATGGAGAAACTACAATCGAACGATCGCAGCTAGCTGTGACAATGTGACCCTAATTATTGAGGAAGAAGAGTGGAGAATGGGGAAGTATTCTCGCCTTTCAGAGGAAATTCCAGGATGGAAGATCAAAATGACAGGCATCGATGAAGGTCTCAGGGGAGAAATTGAAATTGCATGGAAGAATTACAAGGGAAATGCGATTGGATTTATTCGTGAAGCAGCATTTTCCCCTGCAGTCCTTCCTGCAATGGAGATGGATAATGAAATTGGAAATGAAGAGGAAGATGAGAGGGATGTAGAGAAGATGCTCAGCTCTTTGCTTACCGGGTTATTTGGTTACCCAGGCTCAGGAAAATCCAGGAGAGTAAATATGTTGATTAAGCGAGTGTTAGCGCTTCATGGTCGAGTTTTCCTTGTTCACTGTGGAGGTTTCTTGTCTCAAAAACTTCTCCAACAGCGTTGGGATGCTGAGACGAATGTGAATATCTTGCTCCAATCAGATTATATCGATTCCCTTCCGAGAATCATCGACGCCGTTAAAAAGAGACAGGCAATGAATGAAGCAATAAAAGGTCCCACGGTCGCGGTCGTCGAAGATTATACACTTTCGAGATATACGGAAGGGGAGTTGAATAAGGCCATGCAACAATTGAAATATTTAGGTATAAAGCTAATCCTCGTTTCAAAACCGCACTCGAGAGACGCCATGGGAACCACAATAGAGAACGTAATAAAACTCCTGAAAGACACTCCCAACTGCACCGTCATTTCCCTCCTCTCTGATGTTTTCAGCCTAAGGCTCCTTAACTACGTGAAGCAGAACGAGGTTCCATTAGAATTAAACTTGAAAGCTAAGAGCTTACTCACCACTTCAACTCCAGGCTCCGTCGTTCCTGGTCCACAAGTCAAATGTTACAGACAATGTTCAGGGCGTCATGCTGGATATATATGTGAAGGAGAACATGTATGTGGACCGCAAATCAAGAGGTCCGTCCCTATGTTTTCCTCCATTCTCTCCTCTCTACGAGAGAATAATAGCAGAGTTGGCATTGTTGTTCTGCTCACGGATGAACACCTCCTGAAGAAATTCACGACGGCATTTTCCAACCAAGACCATGACATCCACTTCTCGCATCCTAAAGATTTTCGGGGATGCGAAAGCTCAGTTGTCATATCGATCAACATTGGGGATGAGTGGATACTGGAAGCAATATCTCGTTCCAGAACTCAGCTTTTCATCATCGACGACATCCAGGAGCATAGGGATCTTTGGCGAACGATGGCTGAAGAAGGCCGCGTCGAGGCTTTGAATCTTCCTTTCATTTGCGTCTCGGATATCCTATCGCTTGATGACCTCGGAAAGTTCCTGAAAGTGAGTCTCCCTATTCCAACTCTCGCCCTACCATCTCACTTCCAAAATTCCAGGTCACACTTTAGCTGTCGGGTGAAAAAAACCTTGAAAGTTGAATGCTTGAATCTACTTCGATAGAAAAGGCATCAAGAGCAAAGACACTTCTTGCGACATCGACGCCTGTTACCATCGACCGTGGCTCCTACGTCCTGCATGCCTACGCATAGCAGCACTTCATGTCAATAAGTCACCAGCGTCTTGGATTAGGCAAAGACGGTTTTCGGTTGAGTAAAACTGATTTCGTCGAAAATCGATGTGAACAGCAATATAAATTCGTAACCATGTAATTCTGAATGTCCACATCTTCTTGCTGCACTTATAGTAAAACTATGGATTGCCAAACTAAATACACTTAATGTAAAATGCTGGATCCAGGAGCATGGATCAGAACCCTTCTTCGCGCACAGATATTTACGCACTCTTTGAACCTGACTGGAACTAGGCCTTGAAATCTATTTTCCCGGGAAGATCACGTTCCTGATGCAGCTAAGGGGACAGTTTGAATTTAACTTCGTATTATACGTATATGAGCTTTGTATAGTATTTGTACGCGTATTCTATAGTAGGAACAAATAAAAGTATTTTACTACCTCCATACAAGAAAGCTTAAATAATGAAATAGGAAGGTGTCAAAAGTGGTTGAATGCAAACGGATTTTGGTCGCAATTGTTGAATGAGGTAGTGTTTCAGAGCTTGTGATTTTGTGCTTCCTAATTTAGACATTAGCAGCTGTATTCCTAATTCATTTCCTACATCATCGGCATTCTTACTTTTCCTGAGGCATATGATTATGGATTTATGAAAACTACCCTTCACTAACAGGTACCTTCCCTATGTTATAGAGGCCGACATGGGATGATGTAGGAGAAAGAATAGGCAATGAGGCAGTGGGAAGAGGAGACCTCTTGCACGAGAGCACCGGCGTCATTCTTTCTCTCTCTCCAGAGACATGGGAATACCTCAATAGTGAAGAAAACTTCCCCCTTTCGTCGACTTCCTCCCCTTTCGCAGATTGGGGATATGTATGGGATGGAAGTAAGTGAGAGTGTCATTTGATATATTGAAGGGGATTATATGAATGCATTGCATCCCATTAGTAAGAAAGGGGAAAGAAACTATACTCCATATCTGACCTCTTTAACTACCAGATCTTCATGAGGGTCGTCGCAACCTCCGGGGCTTAATTGTGCTTGTAGCTCTACAAACTCAGCTCTACCTATCGCATTCTTGAATATACTGCGCGTAGTCACTAAATTATTAGTACTAAGCCTTCTAACACATTGCGGCTGCACCTTATTGTCATACAGAAACTTTCTTCAATTCTCACTATGAAATATACCTGTAGTGGGTCGATGTGCTGTAGTGTGGGTGTGATGTGGAGAAATCTACACACTTGGAGAGAATTGACTCCTGACTTCGTAGCAAATTATTACGAGTAATGGAGAAATCAACCGGACTGTCAATCATTGAATGACATCAGGAAGCTCTGGCCACTTCACTCATTTCGATACCTACATATCGTATTTAGGGATATGAATCTGGATATTACGGCAGCAGAGTGAGTTGGAGCTCTTATTATCTATTTCCAACGCCTCACGAATTAGAATAGAGAACATGCACAACATTCCTAGTTCTCGAGATTTTCTCTCATAATGTATTTAACATGTGCTGAATGCAGCATTAATTTAAAGTTAATTTTGGAAGTGAATATTGTTGTATGCTCGCCCCTTCCTTTTTTTTGTCAACAAGAACATTGAGTTCCGAATATCATTGCAAGGTTGGTGACTTCGCAGGTATCATTTAGTGAGAAGGAAAATAGGCACTAGCATGTACGACAGCTCATATAAGCAGGAAAGTGGTTTTCATGAACGAATATAAACGTATGAGCTCAATAATCTTAACATTTCAGCAGTTCATGTTCTCTTCGATGCACGTCTGATTCCTTTCCTCAGATTGGGAGGGGGAACCCTCTTGGGTTCGTGGCATGGAGAAGTTCTTCAGAGAAAGAGGGGTGGAATGGAATAATGAGTCTCAACCCCAACCTTATCCCCCAGTGACTCTAAAAATGGATGAAAGGATTAGCGAATCTGGAGGAGTGTTGGAGTCCCTGTCCATGTATCTTACGGGATCTCTCATGCACTTCAGTCTCATTCAGGTTTGTCTCTTGCTGACTACATTGCTCGTAGTGTGTTTCATCATATTTACTCTTCGTCAAGGCTTTTATAATTGCCCATTCGTATTGCTTTATCAAAGCGTTTGCTAGATGTTATAGCCGTTTCTTCGTGACTATTTCATTAGTTATTATTACCAGATATTATTGTCAGTTATTATTATTGCATTAATATGAGAGTGACTAGAAAATGGTATGCATTCTAATTCCAGTCCTCCATGTACTAATACTCTTGATGTGTTCCTCCTTAGTGTGACTAACTTGTTTTGATTTATATTCCAAAAATGCATGACAATTATTTATCTAAAAGTTTTTATGTTCATTTTTCTGCAGTATTCCTGGGCCAAGACATCCTAGCATTAGCAGTACAAGGCACGAATTCTAGAAATTATTGGTGCTAATTGTAAAAAAAAAGTTTGAGGAGTTTCCTTGTGTCAACTCTTTATCTTTTTTCATTAGCATATTCCATGAATGATTTATTGCAAAACTTATAACTTTTTGAAATCTTTATTTTTTCAATGATAAACTGAATAATGAAACCATTACACAACTCCCTGCCGTACCAAGAATGAGCACACAACGAAGACCTTTAATTCAAGAATACCTTTATTTGAGTTATATTGCGAATCATTTCCTGTCCTAAGTCGTAACCCTAACCTTCTATAACAGTAGTTCTCAACCGGCGGGGAGTTGTGTAATGGTTTCATTATTCAGTTTATCATTGAAAAAATAAAGATTTCAAAAAGTTATAAGTTTTGCAATAAATCATTCATGGAATATGCTAATGAAAAAAGATAAAGA